AACTAATTGTTCAATGTTTTTTTTAAACATTTTATTTTATTTTAAAAGTTAAAGTTTTTTGTTGTTGTTGTTGTTTTTTCCTATAATACATTCTAATTGTTCAGCACAGTGTATGACACTATCCCCCAGTTTCACAGACAAGGCTTAAGCCTAATCCTAGACTAAAATGTAAATCTGAGCTGTTTCAACTGAAGGAAACTTGCACTGACTGATCTTAAAACAGTAATGTTTTTTTATAAGGTATGTTTATAAAAATTACTTAAATGTCCTAATTGAACTATAGCCTAATCCTGGTTTAGGCTAAGCCCTGTCTATGAAACCGAACCTATATTGCGTCTTTACTTCTTTATGCCCCATTCAGAAGTATTGTGAGAAATTTTTGACTAAATAAAATGAATATAAATCTTGTCTCCTGGATTTGGTCATTAGCAATTGTAATAGTAAGTGTGTGTTTGTTCATGTGGTTTATGTTGTGTGTGTGAATTCACAGGCAGTCCTGTGGCGTCGGTGGCAGTGGACCCGAGTGGGCGTCTGCTGGCATCAGGGCAGGAGGACAGCTCCTGTATGCTGTATGACATCAGAGGCGGGCGCATGGTTCAGACGTACCAGCCGCACTCCAGTGATGTCCGATCGGTGCGTTTCTCCCCCGGCGCTCATTACCTGCTCACGGGATCCTACGACACCAAGGTCATCGTCACTGACCTACAAGGTGAGATCTCAGATGACCCTCAGTTTACCCTGAGTGTTAATGTTAATTTTTCATTGTAGAATTAGTGTGTATTTGTCATTTTTATTTGTTTTTAAATGTATTTTAAATATATTCATTTTAAATATAGATTTTTATTTCAGTTTTATTTCTTTCAGTTAAAGTTTATTTTATTTCAAGTAACGAATTATTCTTATTTTTTTTTTAAGTTTTAGGTAACTGTAATAACCTTGCAACTCAACATCTATTTATTTTACTTTTTTAACTTATTTATTTTACATTTACATTTTATTTGACTACATTTTTACACCTCAAATGAAACAAGTGTTATTTTAGTATCAAGACACTATTATAATTTTTATTTTGAATCAGTTTTTATTTTTTTATTTTGTCATTTTTAGTAGTTTTTGTCGTTTTTAATTTGATATAGCTTTTATCGATTTTTACTTGCATTTAAGTTTATATTAGTACATCAAGTTACACTAAATGAAAATGAGAAATGTTTTTTTATTTGTACTTGTTTAATTGTAATTTATTTTAATAGATTTTTACACCTCCATATAATGCCCCACAAAAAAAAAAGACTGTAGAAATTCATTTTGAATTATTTACATTTTTGCATGGTTGCATGGAGGTAGAAAGAAGAAAGCTCATAATGGAAAAGAAATGTAATAAATTCTGAAAATATTCAGTTTTGTTGATGATGTTGTTGTTTTTTTGTTTGTTTGTTGTTGTTTTTTGCGTAATTTTCCTCCATGTATTCAATGTGTGACAAAGGGGCAACACAAAATATTTTATCAGGTTTCCAACAGTCAAAAGAAAAGAAAAAAATTACAATAAATTTTGTAAATGTAAATATGTATTTTAACATTTTTAAGCATTTACAGTATGTTTTAAAGCAATTATGTTTTGGATGATTGTATGTGTGCACAGGTGACCTGACAAAGCAGCTGCCATTGACCGTTGTGGGAGAGCATGCTGATAAAGTGATTCAGTGCAGGTGGCACACACATCACCTCTCCTTCCTGTCCTCCTCTGCTGACCGCACTGTCACACTCTGGACAGAAGCCACGTAGAGCCAGCTCTGGCCACTAGATAGAAACAGCACATGTATATAAAGTATGTGTGTGCGCTGTGCTTCTGTTTTGAGTCTGTTTGTTATGAGTGTGTATTTATTTTGTGTTCCTGGAAGTTGAGTTCTTTATCAGTGAATGGCTGAAATAAGTGCAAAGCCTTTTTATGTACATATTATCTGATTGACTGCCAGTGTGTCTGATGGCCCTGAGCCACATTGGGATGAGATGCTTTGCTGTGTGCTTGTTATGTATGTGCTTCCCATTCAATAACCTTTATCAAACACTGAACCGTCCCTCCACACAGACTCAGTGGTGTCATATGATCTATACTGTGGCCTTCCTCTCTGTGTGTCCGCTTTCCATACATCTGTACTTGCCTGTTTGAATCTAGCCTCTGGAAATAGATGCAGTATTCATTATCTGAGTCATTTTTGATGTATCATTGCAAACCATATGAATGCAACCTGTTTGAGTGAAAGATGTACAGGCAGTCCAATGCTTGCCTGAAAATGAACATTATTATGACCTGCTGCAAATACTGTTTCGAAATTCAGCTGCTCGTGCAAATATCAAAAGCAACGTTAATGTAAACTGCCTTTGTAAATGCTGTCAAGTCAGTCTCATTTAAAGTGGTTAATGTTTGAATTATACTCTTTTTGCTTGAAACAGTCTGCAGCCCTTGTGAGTGCCTCTGAATCGATGGCATGATTCAAAGTATTGAATTTTTAAATGTAGATGAAGGGAATCTGTGTCCTATAAATGTCAGTCTATACATAGTGCTAAAACCATCAAATGAAATGTTTTGGGCGTTGGCACATAGGTTTGTTAAACAGGTGAAATCGTTTGATACTATGATCTTGCACTTTTCCTGTTTTGTTTCGATAGCACTTTGTTTTTGAGTAGTTTATGTTGTATGTTTTCTAATGATGTAGATTTTATTATTTAATCTTAAGTTTTTGTTGTTATTGATGTTATTAATTTTAAAACGAAGCCAAACTAACATGTTGACACATTTACATGCTGAAGCAGCTCTCATTTGAAGTCATGTAGTGAAATATTGTGTCGTTCCTGTAATCTTTTCTAAATCATATTTGGACATCAGTGACTACAGTAAAGGCTGGTGGGACAAGTCTGAATAAATAACCCTATTCTCTGCTACGCCTCCATTCATGTGCATTAAGCACTAGTTCAGGGCTGTCCAAACTCGGTCCTGGAGGGCCGGTGTCCTGCAGTGTTTAGCTCTAACTTGCCTCAACACACCTGACTGGAAATTTCTATGCTTAGTGAGAGCTTGATTAGCTGGTTCAGGTGTGTTTAATTAGGGTTGGAGCCAGTGTTGGGGGTAACGCATTACGTAATCAGATTACTTTTTTCAAGTAACTAGTAAAGTAACGCATTACTTCTTTAATTTACAAGAAAATATCTGAGTTACTTTTTCAAAAAAGTAACGCCAGTTACTTTGTTTTCCCATTTATTGACTGACAAGTCTCCTGTCCCCATATTGGGAGAAATCGGAAGTGCAGACGAGTTGTGTGCGCTGTGTGAACATGATGTTACTGTAGTTCTAGACTAAATGTGAATGTGCATTAATTCATCCCACTCACAAAAAACTGATTTAGTATTCATCAAAATGAATTAAAACAGTGAAATGCAAACTCAGAATATGACGCAAACCTGCAATAATTAAATATGTTAAATAACACAAATGTATCTAATCCCATTTTATTAACCAATGTCTTTGCTGCTGACCTTTGCTGATCCAGTTCAACCATGCTAATAAGCAAAAATGACTTTAGATAAACTAACAATTGTGTTTCAGTTTTTTTTTTTATTGCTGAAGAGTGTTTCTTCTCCTGCGTTCTACTGTACAGATGTGAATTTACTTTTCCTTCAGCCTGAGGTTTATTCATTACACTTTTTGGTGTGAAAGGGCTTTTACATTTGCTATAAATATAACTTCTTATATTAAAAACAATCAAGCCCTGTTCATATTTAAAAAGTAACGCAAAAGTAATATAACGCATTACATTCCATAAAAAGTAACTAAGTACCGTAATTAGTTACTTTTTTAGGGAGTAACGCAGTATTGTAATGCATTACTTTTAAAAGTAACTTTCCCCAAAACTGGTTGGAGCTAAACTCTGTAGGACACCGGCCCTCCAGGACCGAGTTTGGACAGCCCTGCACTAGTTGCTCATTTCTTGCTGATTCACTTTAATAGTGAAAAATTCACTGGTGTAGCCTAATACATCACATTAACTATGGACAATGTGTCCAAATAACGTTTTGTCTTAATTTTGAACAGATGTTTTCATTTTTCAAACGGTCTGCTGTCAAAAGATCATCTAAAATGCCTCCGTTTTCTAAAATAAACGGTCGAAATACAACGTTTCTAAAAAAGTAACATCCAATGTTATTTCTGCATTTATAAACGCAGACCCTGCATATTTGCATAGCCTGTTACACTTGAGATGTTACACACTACAGTGAATGAAACTCCGCCTATGGGCTACAATAGAAAAAAAAATAGTTGTATGATCTATTCTAGACCAAGCAAAAAATCCACTTATTTTATTGAAATCCTAGGCTATAAGCGATACAGTATACTACTAATATACAAATGGCGTGAAGCAGCTGGGTGATGGACGTAACGCCTTAATGTACACGTCAAACCTATGTCATGTAATTTAGGCTAAATTGAAAACTGCTTTCGTTTTTTTCACTGGCTATTGATGGGAAGTTCGGATCATTTTACCGACTCGGACCTTTGAGTCTCGTTCAGCAAAATGAACGAATATTTTTTCGAGTCATTTCGTTCATTTTAGCAAAATATAATTAAAATGTTACGTGGTACTTCCCTAACACGTATACTAACGCAAACGTTGATCACACTACAAACAATACAAAACTGCTATAAGACACAGAAAAGATTAATTAATTGTTTACCTGGGTCTTCAGTTTATGATTAGCTCACCTCACCTCTTATCTGACAAGTCTTCGGGTTTGGGTTTATGAGGCTGTCACGTGATGAATTAACGACTCGGAAAAACCCGAAGACTCGAACCAGGTGAACTACTTGACTAATTCCAGTACAGAACCTATAGGATGTTGCCCATGCGCGACTGAACGAATCACTCCCCGAGACGACTCGTTCTTCCCGAGTCACATTAAAGATTCGTTCAAAATGAACGAATCGTTCAAGAACGACCCAACACTAGGCGCCACGTGAAGTGTGCAACTTTTCTCTTTACGTGAAACTAGTTCGGTTAAACAGGCTGAATTTTACGACTGCGTGTTAGATGCGGTATATTAAGCGTTTAAAAAGTACCTGGCTGATCGGCATTTCGTTTTAATTCGCGGATCAAGGTCCGTTATCCATAACGATGAGCAGCTTTGGTAAACGAGAAAAGCGGCGCGATCTGACTTGCAACTCCAATAGTTTGATGCCAATGTAAATCTCTGTTTTGTACGCTTAAATAATTAACCAGTCTATTTATTTTTATAATGACGTGTTACAAAAACTTGAAATATTGTTTTAATGTACAGCCGACAAATAATCGTAAAATGCAATGTATGATCTTTTTTTTTTATGCCCAGAGGCCCATTTTGTGGATGGGAACTACGCTGCGCTTGTTCAGAGGGTTACCTCAGTGATGGCAATAGCAGATGAACTAAAAAATGAGGACATAATACATGAGGAAAAATATGCAGAGATCAGAGCAGAACAAACCAGCCAGGGCAAAATGAGAAAGCTCTTTGAAGCGCTTAATGCTGGAGGACACCGAGTGAAAAATGACTTTTATTATGCTCTGAGAAATCATGAACCATACCTCTTCAGAGACTTGGGTAAGAGAATCTACAGTTGGTGTTAGTTTAATAAGTTTATAAACTTGAACCTACCTGTATGGGTAGTCTAATGTGAGCTGATATCAGGTGGTGAGGCAATGGATTACATCGATGGCAACCAGAACAACCAGCTCCAGTTAAACTGAATAGTGAGTGAAACCTGTTTTCAATTGCATGTTATGTAGGCTACTGTATTGAACACTGAAATTAAAAAGAAAATGCTGGCAGGCAAAGCAAATAAGATTGCTGATATCCTGTCCTTGAGCAAAAATTAGCATTAATACATTGTTCAGTCAAAAGTCTATTTTTTAGATTAAAGTTTGAAACACCAATTAATAACAAATATTAAATACAGTCTAGTCCACAGTGTTAGTAAACATCCTGTAATCTTTCTTTACCAAATGAAGCCCCCTGCACCCAAGAAACTGAAGACCCCTGCAACCAAGACATGGAAACAGACGTCACTTGGAAAATAAGATGCAGCTGAAGATGAAGCAATGTAAAAAAATGCTGTTAAAGGAACAGTTCACACAAATTAAAACTGTCATCAGTTATTCTCCCTAATGTCACTGAACACCTTTAACCATAATTTTTCATAATTTTTTTACTTTGTGTTCCATATATATATAGGTTTTCCTTTTGTAGGTTAAATTTTTTTAAACTTTTTTATGCAGTTTTTTCATGCTAAAATCACAATAGCTTATACTATTCGACTTATATTCGACTGAACCGAATCATTTAAATGGTTGATTCATTCGTGAACGAAACACCGTCGTGTTGCTCAGAGACGCAAAACAGCGCTGTGGCTTTGTTTGGAATTATTTTTGTTGGCGAAATAGTGCAAAAACAGGCAATATGGTGTCTAAAACGTAAGTCACTTAATAAAACGTCTAGTTTATTGAACTGTTGTAAAAAATCAATATCACATTTGTATATGGTAATGTTTGGAGAAAAAAAGGCACTCTTCCAAGTGAACTTGATTAACTACATGAAGTGGTATAAATATACACATTTTCTGCCCCCATGTCTTGAATTTGTGATCATTCTGAATGTATTTTAATAGACTGAATCATGCAGTGATCAGGCAGAGCGCACTCTAAAAGCGCATGCGCACTAGACTTCACGTAATGCCTGCACTCTGTAGGTGTTTTGAATGTTTATTTTTTTGCGTCGTGAGAATATTGAGCAAAATAGCTCACTTGTCATGGTGTTAACTATATCATGTTATGAATAAACTAAACATTTTGAATTTTTACCTCAGTGTGTTTCTTCTGAGTTTATGTGTGCTGTCACGCTCATTTGTTCTGAAGTCTCGAGACAAACAGAGTGAGCCTCAGCAGCGCGAGCTTGTATTCTGTATTCTGCTAACTTACTGCAAGTAGGCTTGTTTGAGATGAGCAAAATCTGCGCAGAACCGATCACCGGTGATCACCGCGAGATGCATGCCGGTTAGAAAAGTGTCAGACTTACCTCGGACTTGCTCTGATGCCATGCTGACCTGTGCAAAAAAAACTCTCGCGACGGCGAGGCGGCTGTGTCGGATTGTGCAGTCGAGTGCAGTTGCTCTCCACCGACTGCGCTGAGCAAAAGCATGATGGGAAACGACTGAGTGACGACAGAGCTTAAAGCGCCAGTAGGTGGCAGTAAGTCACTGTTAAGTGAGTCATTGCGACTGAACCGAATCATTTAAACAGTTGAATCATTCAGGAATGAAACACCATCACGTTGCTCAAAGACGCAAAACAGCTCTGTGGCTTTGTTTGGAATTATTTTTGTTGGCGAAATAGTGCAAAAACAGGCAATATGGTGTCTAAAACGTAAGTCACTTAATAAAACGTCTAGTTTATTGAACTGTTGTAAAAAATCAATATCACATTTGTATATGGTAATGTTTGGAGAAAAAAAGGCACTCTTCCAAGTGAACTTGATTAACTACATGAAGTGGTATAAATATACACATTTTCTGCCCCCATGTCTTGAATTTGTGATCATT